TAATATAGTGTTATCTACTATACAAAAGTACAAGGGCTCTCTCCTACTTTCGCCACATCAATAGGCCACGTGGCAAAGTAAAAAACCTCTATACACAAAAAAAAACGGCTCCTCTCCTCGTTTTTTTCCTTTCTCTCATACGTTTCAGAAGTTTTAAAGCTTTAAAATAACTTTTCCAAAATTCTACACAACTAATTCTTTATCAGCTTCCCCAACGTCATGCTCGCCATTGGATTGTGATTTTTACCCTTTTCCCAATCGCTTCTCAAACCCATAGCTACAGATTGGATCTACGGTATTGAGATCTCCTTCCTGACACATCATAGGCTGAACTCAAACAGCCCGATGGAGACTTCTCATGATGGATGTGTTCAGTTCGGCTACTTGACTTCTCCGCAGTAACCAAGACAAGGGCGTTTTTGCTCTCCATGCTTCTGTCCTCCTTCTCCACCAGTGGACAATTTGCTTTCTCTGAAGACGCTCTGTTATAATTGACTACTAAAGGTTATGATTGTTTGTTCTTGAGGAAAGGGTTACTTTTTTCGTTTCTTTCATTTTCTTAAGATTTGCGACACTACTTTGCTCGATTTTGAAAATAGATGAGGTTGTGCTCGATAGATGAAACCAAATTGACAAGGAGTCATTAAGTCCTACTCGAAATTTCCAAACGCCAAGCCTTGGTAAAACAAAAAATCTTTCAACGCATCTAAGTTTTAGCAATATTCCGAATTGATCAAATTTTGATTTCTACTTCATCCAAACCTAGCTGACAATCCCCTTTCTTTCTTTGATTGAACAAATTATTGTAGTTCTTCCTTCATCTGAAGATCTCTCAAAGCACTCCTCGTCTCCTCATTAACTTGTTCGAAGCTTGTTTTGGAACTTGAAGCAAATTCTTCACATGCTCGAACTTGTTCTTAAAATTATGAGTAGGCTGAAGCAAATAAAGCTTAACAATTTAACCGAAAGGAGAGTCAAGTAAACACACATCAAAGTCCAAATGAAAACAAGTTATAATATTTGAATTGTCCGGATCAATGACCCTTTACAAGGTCACTTAAGCCCTATGCTCAGCTCGCCAACATCTTCAACATAGTCTTCTCCATCATTGAGATCCACTTAGAGTTTAAGTCACAAAACTTTCTAATTTCCCTCACTTCATATTAATTTCCATTTCCAACATCTTGCCTGAATCTGAAGCCTTGAATTCATGACCTCAATTCTAAGTGGATTGCTCTTTTTGCTGATTGCTTATGATTGTAGATGCTCTTTGGTATTTTATTGACATTTTTACCCAAAAATACGGCATCCCGAGGACTATTCTTCACATGGTCACAACAACCACAAACCCAAGCAGTGTTAGAAAAAGACCTATAAAACTTTGATACGAATGAATAAGACAAATAGATTCAAGAGCTCCGCACGCATAATAGAGTTTCTACCAATCATGACATATTAATATCATAAGATAATGACTTTGCCTTGTCATAGTTATCAGAATTAGAGACGAAGTTACTTTAGCATCAAGAAGTAGCATAACTACCACATATTTCTTTGACAGTAGATTGCTCTGCCTGTGAATAAGACATACTAAATCCGCTATTAAGTACACAAGCCGAACTTAAACTTTCGATTAGTATAACTCGCCAACCTCTACTTTTAGCCTAACAAAGGATCTTTAATGGGAGATTATATAAAGAGGTCTGGTTGCCTCTTGTTAGTTGATCTGATTTCAAGTGTGATAAAAWKAAAWYKAAAAAGGGACATATAATCGCATTGAAAAATCTAAGCTAGTAGAAATTAGTAAAGACGAGGGTAAACTATTCATGAGAACCAGAGAAAATTACCTTTCTAGGACCTCAAAACTCATTGTTCCTTTATGTATGATTGGTTGTTATTAGGATGTTGGAGACAGAAGCATCAGGAAAGGACCCGCTATTTTGCATCTTCAAAACAGTATTCTGGTTTGATCTTTCTACCACACCTTTGATATCAACCTCAAAGACACTCCATTATCGGCAATATACTATCATTGCTTCTGGACCCACTTGCACCTGTAGAAGAAGCATGGTAAGTTAAAAATGAAGGCAACACGTCTCATCAGAAAACCTTTAACCTATGAACCTATCACATGTAAATAATCTTCTTAAAGACACACACAAGAGCTGAAATTCCAAATTACGCGAATCTATAGTATCTAAATACACAAATATTTCCCCCCAAAATTGTCTAGGAAAAGAGTAAGTTAAACATACAAAAGATTAGAAACAAAACGTGAAGACATGGCAGTCAATTAATAAAATCTAACTCTCCTCATGAGTAGAAAACAATGTTGAAACCTCACAACCTTCACGTACTTGTAAAGCGCTCTCAATGCTATGCTATGTCGGCGAGATTACTCTCTCTATGTACGAAGGCCATGTTTGTCACTCAGAACTTCTCTCTCATCAAGTTTTCTCTCTTCTTTGACGGCGTCGCTTGGCATATGACCGTCAAATTTTGGCTTGAATCGGAGCCATATTTCTGTGAATCTCTCTCTCTTTGTATAACACACAATCCTCTAAAAGAGATCCAAAGAATCTCATCGACCAAGGCATCATCAATTTATAGTGGTTGCTAGAAAGTCGAAGGGATTATGTTAGATGGACAGAACAAAGCGACGTTAGGTTGGCTTTTAGTTTTGGATCCCTAATCGTCGAAGAAGACTTGTAACAATTTTAATTTTGGGAATGAGATGCCGAGGAAGAGTAGGTTTTTTTGTGAAGAATGCCACGTATCTTCTTTTTATGTGCTGACGTGTTAAGCTGTGGGAGTGGGTTATTGCTCTAGACTAGATTTTGATACACGCCAAGCGTGGTATTAAATGATTAAATATATTTTTTTTATCTATTTTAGTATGTAAATGTGTTTGACAAATCATATGATTTTTAATATTTATAAACTTACAAAATGATATGCATTATGCATAAGTATAATCAAGTTAAATTTTGATCAAGCATATTTTGATACCATTAGTTTTAATATTTTATGTGCAATTGGTTAGAACATATGCAAATGTTGTTTATTTTAATATATTTTAAGTGTAAAATTAATTTTTTATTATTCGTGTAAATTATAGAGCATGCGATAAATCAGATAAATTTTAGATTTATATGAATCTATCGGACATAATAAACAGAAAACTATATATAATTTCCAATAATGAAATCTGTAAATATTTTATATATCATAGTAATCTAAATACATATATACACAATAAATAATATTGTCACAAATATAATAATAAAATATTAAAAGATAAAAGAATTTTTAAAAATAGATGATATGTTAAGTCTAAATATTACATTTAGTTGGACTTAAATTTGCAAAACATGTATTAATGGACTTATGCTATAAAATTAATAAGAATATGTAGAATTAATTTAAATGTTTTCATTGGTTGATTTAAATGACATCTTCCTTAAAACTCTCATTGAGTGACACACATGATTTTCATCTTATCTGCTGACGTGTTAAGATGTGGGAGAGGGTTATTGCTCTTTTATATAGTAGATTACCATAAGTTCTACCACCCCTAATATTAATAATAAATTTTATTATTAGACACATATACAACCATTAATAATTTATGTAAATTACACATTTTAATTTAATTATTTTAATGATTTAATCTAATTGTTT